TTTACTAACTAGTTTGCTTGATACTAGCTAGTTCTGTGTAGATACTTAGATGTATATAGCTGCTTGTTCTTTTTCTTTATATATATATTCTTTCTGAGTAACTATCTTATAGACTTCTCTCTTTGCTTCATATTATCACTAGGTATATTTATAGCTACTACTTTTATTTTGATATCTTTTTATTTGTACAACTTTTTTTTTCAGAGTATGAAGAAGCAAGAATGAAATTAGAAAACTCTAAGAAGACTTCAAAAAATTAAGACTCATATGAGAAGAAATATATCAAATATCTGAGAATAAGAAAGTATAAAAAAAAGTATCAAGTAATATAAAAAGAAAAGAAAGCAAGGCTAAAAGAGACAGTAAAGCAAAGGAAGAACTTGAAAAAATTTCTAAACAAAAAAAAGAGAAAATATCACAATATAATATTCTAAAACAGATTACTACTACAAAGAGCAAATTAGTATACAAACAACAAAATCAAAGTTCTGAGCTGGAGATAAGCAAAGATTATATAATAATTTAGGATTTACTTATATGAGCAAGAAGATCTCAAGTCTTTGAATCAATATGCTATTTCAGTAGAGTAGGCATATAAAAATAATCAAAAAACCTTATAGCAAAATAAAAGCAAAAATAAATATTCTCTCTAATACAGTAAATACAAAAGACCTAGCTAAGACATAGTGTTTACTATTTATAAAAGACTACTTAGTCAGAGTTATAATAAGAAAGTACAATCTCAATAAACTAAAAACATATAATATATATAACAGAAAGCTATTTAACTTATTAGAGAATACAAATAAAGTCTTCTTGTAGAGACAAGTTAGACAAACAGGTGCCAAAGTACTATATATTTTCAGAAACTCTAATAGCAGTAACAAAAGAAGTATAACAGTATACTTCAAAAATAAAAAAGACTATATAAATAATATAAAATTTGCTATATTCTACTTCAATTTTAGACTTAGCTAAGCAAAAGAAAAAGATGAGAAAGTAGAAAATAGAGTAACAGATTTATAAAAGAAGAGAAAATATTATTAATATAGAGCATAAGAGAAATTATAACTTCTACTACTCAAATAGGCTGTGGTGTCCTTCTTTTGAGATACTTTTAGATACTTCTTCTAGGAGTCCAAAAGTAAAGAGATCAAAGGTCACTATAGCAGATTACACTTAGGTACTATAATGGTAACTGAGTGAGTTAATACTTAGCAATAGTCACTAGATAGTAATATATACTAGATAGAAATGTTTTAGTCATAGATTAAAATTATTGATTAAATAAAATATTAGCATGATTACTGAAAAAAAAATATTTTTTGACTATAATATAGTATAGAGATCAAACAAAATAGAGAGTTTAGTTAAATCTTTTGTAATAATACTAACAAGAAAGTATAATGATGCAGAATAGATATTCTAAAGAAAAGATAAACTAATAAAAAGTAGTAAGTATAATTGAAAAGAACTATAGCAAAGAATTAAAAAACAAAGAAGAATAAATTACTTGTTAATAAAAGATAGTAAAAGTCTAATTATACAAGTCAAGTACTTAACAAATAGTCTACTAATACTTAGTAAGCTAAAGAAGCATAAGCTAGAACTATACTAGAAAGACTATTATATTTTATGCAAGAAAGAAATTCTAAAGGATTTTGACTACTTAATAAGGTACTCTACTTTGCAAAAGTCTTGAGAAAAAATTAAAGAGGTAGTATTAGAAGGTATTAGCAAGGTTCAAGCTGAAAAAAGTATAAATATACTCTCTTTAGTACAAATTAAAAAGATTATTTTTTTAAAAGAAAAAGAAAGCAGATACTAAAGAAGAAAAGAGTTATTTATAAAACTCAAAAAAAAGAAAATAGCTGAAGATCTGCAAGTACTAGCTCAAGAGAAAATTTAATAATAGTATAGATAGATAGTATTATTTTTATTATGCAAATAAGCTTTGCAAAAATAATATAGAACTAGTAATACGAAAAAGTAATCTAATTAGAAAAGCAGGAAGAAATTATAAATAAGCTTAAAAGAAGTAAAGTTAGAAAGAAAAAACTAAAAATGAGAACTCAAACTATTAAAGAAAAAAGAGTATTACTTGTAAAAAAAAAAAAAAAAAAAAAGAAAGAAGAAAAAGAATTAGATAGTAGTATTAGTAGAAGGAGTAGTAAAAAAAGAAATAAAAAAAGGAAAATTAAGTTAATAAAGTTTTCTTTGACTTAGTTAGACCAAATTGTTCTAGCTATATAACTAATATAACAAGTTATATCTGAATATTCTAGGAGTAGCTAAATGATATCAAGCTTAAGAAATTAAATAGATTATATAATCATATATAACTTGGCTATAGTCATAATTAATAACTTAATAAAGTTTATAATATAATAGTCAAAGAAAAAAAATATATATAAGCTATTAAGAAATATAATACAAATACTAAAACATATAGCTAGTTTAAAATAACAAATAGAAATATAATAAAACAAATTAAGAGTTGTTATAAGACAAAAAATCTGAATTTAATATTATATAAAGTCAAAGATTATAGCAAAAACAAATAAAATAACTAAGTAAATAAGCTAGTTAAAAAAAGAATAAACAAGCTTATTAGCCTTAATATATTTGAAATAATAACTAGTAATTTGTTAGTTTTTTCTAGATAAAAAAGCTAAATAATAGAAAATCTATTTAGATCTTTTATAAATATTATTATAGTAATAATATATAAGATAGAATAGACAAACTTAAGAAAAGTAGCTGAAGTTATATTTTATAATTAGAATGCTAACTATAATACAGATCTAAATTAGAAGATTATATAAAACTTGTTTAAAGAAATATAAAAAAAAAATATATTAGTTTAAAAAAGAGCAAAGTACTTATATTTAGCATAAAATATATAAATAAGATTCTGCTTACAAAGAATATTTACTATTTAAAAAATCCTAAGTTATACAAAAGTCAAAAATGTATAGCATGCTTTAAAGAAAATAAAACTTACTACTATCTAACAAATTATAAGATTTACTAATAAATTTAGAAAAATCTAGAAGAAGAAACTATTTAGTTTACAAGTTTAAAAATATTAACAAAACTAAATTTGTGATTTAATAAAAACTTTTTCAAAAAAACAATTTATATTACTAGAAGAAAAACTATATAACAAAAAAAATAAATCTAAGAAGACTCATTAATATTAAATAGCTAACTTGTCTAAGCAGAGTAACTTAGTTAAAGAAAAAAACAAACAAAGTTTTAGTTAACTTTATAAAGTATTTCTAGAAATACTTCTATAAATATTTATAGAAATTTCAGTATAAAGTTATAGTAGAATAAAAAAAGAAAAGTGATATTATTATAAGAAAAAAATAAAAAATAAAGTAAAATGAAAAATGAAAATAAAGAAAATATATAGTCTTCTAAGTTAGAAAATGAAAAAATAAAAGAAAAAGAAGTAAAAATACAAAAAGAGCTATAAACAAAGTTGACAAATAGATAAGAACTAGTAAAGAAGAAAGGTAAGTTTAAATTAAAATAAAATAAATAATCTTAATATAAGCTAGTAGTAGCTTCTTATTAACTAGAAGTTTAAAGTTTGTAAATACAAATTAAAGCTCTTGTAAAAGAAATTGTTATTATAGTAGATCAAACTTAGATACTTCAAAATAGCCAAATAAGTTTGGAATAGTTAAAGAAAAGTACTTTATTATAGTTTAGATAGTAATTTACTTTTTAGCTTATATAAAATTTTTCTAAATAAAATAATAGATAAGATTACCAAAAAAAATAATAATAATAATAATTACAAATAGTAAAGATTATTATTATTATTATTATTATTTTAAAACTATCTTCTTAGCTGATTAGATTTTATTAATTTTTTATTATAGAGTTATATATATAATAATCTCTTAAGGTTTGTAATTATATGATGAATATGCAACAAATCACTTATACAACTTTAATTATTATCTAACTTAAGTAGTTTATTATACAGATATTAAACTATCTATTTGGTTCTACATTATGTTATTATACTTGCAACCTACCTGTAAGTTACTTATTTAAACACTCTAATCATTAACTTATTTCTTATATCAATTAATTTTACCACTATATCTGACTGCTTAAACCAGTTAACTTGTTTGTAAATCTTTTTCCAATATGACTTAGATTCTCTTGGGATGCATATTACTTAGAAATGTAAGTCACCTTAAAAAAAAATAAAAAAATCAATTTGATATTGCTTTAGCCTTATATTTGTTGTTATATCTATAAGATCTTGTGTATTTATTCATATAAACAATTCTGAAATATTATCTGACGAATAATTCGAATAACAAATCTTATTCGAATAATGTATACTTATTTTTTATTTATTAATTGTGACGCGTTTCATTTGTTACTTTTTCAACGTAAAATTTCTGTGTAGCAATTTTATTGAAAAAGGGCCCAAAAAATCAAATTGGCCGATATGCTAGGCATACTCGGCCCGTTCCGAGCCCTAGTAAAGCTGTGGTTATATGGTGGTCGGGCCAACAAAATTTGAAGCAAAAAAACAGGTAACGCAAAATAAATGGATAATTAAACATATCTCGGATGAAAAATGTCAGAAGACAATTTGTATATTTTAATTTTTAATTACAAAACCGATAATCAATTCTTTGAGATTGAAAAATCAATTAATTGAAACAAAAAGTATAATTTTAGCCGAACCAAGATTCCAATTGACATTTATTAAAACTGAATTGTATCAACAAGCTGTTTAATGTTGACATTTTATGAAGCATCCATTATAGATTTTTTTTAAAAAAAACACTATAATTGTTTTCTCTTAGGTTCTACTGTATATAATAAAAAGCTATTGTGTTAAAGTACATAACTAAAATTCTTTAAAAAATTGTTAACGTGTTTTTGATTAAATACTGTTCATTTCATCATTGAATATATAAGCATGTGGAACACCGTCAGAAACGCGAATATATCCTCTGAACATTCCATCAGTATTGAAAGGCATGGCATCTTGATTAAAAGAATATGTATCATTAATACCATAAATGTAAAAATCACGTAATTTTAATGTATTAACTTACAATTGCCATATTTATCCAAGGCAATGACTCCACCATCGCCACCAGCTTTTTCCAAATTTTTAATAACGTACGAAGCCGCGTCTTGCACGCTTTCTTCAAGATATTTCATCCGTGCAGCCACATCATAAGCAACACTATAGCGAATGAAAAACTACATGAAAATATTGTAAATAATCCATTTGACGTATAGAATAAATGTGGCAGCTGATGCTGAGATTGGCTGAAGCTGAGATTTTGAAATATTTTAATATTAAATTTTAAAATTTTTTGGGGCCTTTCTGTTAGCTTTTTTTTAGAGTTAGGTTAGGGTTTAGGGTTAGTTTTATTAATAAAAGTGTATACAGTCAGACCCCCTAAATGCTACCCCCCTAAGTGCACGTCTCTCTAAAGGCACGTCCCAACTAGTATTACATATATAAATTTTTACCTCTCTAAGTGCACGTTTGACTAACTTTTTACATATGGTCCCGTCGCATTGCATTTAGGGAGGTCTGACTGTAATTGAATTTTAGTAGGTATTATAGATTTAAATAGAGACCCCAAATCTCAGCTTCAGCCAATCTCAGCATCAGTGCCACAATAAATAAAAAAAATTCTCTTATATTACTTCGCCGTTTCCAGTACCACTGACACCACATGTTTCATTATCAGCCCAAGTTCCACACGCTAATAATGGTGTATCACCAATACGGCCATCTTTTTTATTATTAAATCCACCTTAACATGTTAAATTAAAAGTGATCGTTATATATATTCAATTGCCTACCATACCATCCATAAATTGGAGATGCAGTATTATATTTACACACCTGTAGATGTAGCTGTCGTAATGATCCCATTTATGTCAACCTTGAATTATAGATTTATTTTATAATTAGAATGTTGTAATTATATGACTCTAAATTAAACCAAATACTACCGCAACAGCCCCAACTG